TATATATATATATATATATATATATATAGATAGATAGATAGATAGAAGTATTAACTTTATGTTCATTTAGTTAAAGCTCCATCTAGAACAAATAGAAATCAATCAGAAATGTTTTTATTTTCTGTATTTTTCATATTATTCTAACAGAAGAAGTTAAATTCACCGCAACTTTAACCTGGAAAACAAGTAAACAGATAAAACACTAATTCTTTGTTACGTGCAGACAAAATAAAATAAAAACAGCCCCCGCTGCACTTTAGACATCTTTAATTTGATATGAAAACTGTTTCAGAGCATCAGATAATAGTTTATTAAATTACTGTGCTCAGCTGCCAAACAGCTGTGTCGGCCTGCGTCGTGTTTCCGGTTCAATGAAAATATTTGTCTCTTGATGAGACGAGTGTGTTGTACCTTTGCTGGGAGACTGATGGTGTCCCAGTCCGGAGACGGGAACTCCAGCTTCCCTCTGAGGATCTGCTCAAACAGCTCCTCCTGGACGTTGTTCTCACTGACGGGGAGAAACTCCACGTTTTCATCAACGTCTTTGCACCACGTGTCTCACATAGTTATACTTTTTGTAGTTTTTGTTTTAAAACTGTCTGTGTATCATGTGACATATGGCCCCGCCCCCGGCACTTTGAATCGTCTGATCCAAAAGAAATGTACAAATCTACAACTCAAATCTCTAAATCTTTAAAGGTAATTTTCTTTTAGAAGAAAAATCCACTGGTCTGATCTGAAAATGAGTGATTGTCTGTCGCAGGCCCCATAAACCAAATTAACTAAAATAAATAATTTCATGCAACAGAAAAAAGGAAAATGACTAAATTGTCATTGTATGACAAGTGAATAATGGTCCAAGTGAATAATGTTGCGTTCACTGACCTTCTGAAAGGAGGAAATCCACACAGTAGGATGTACGTGATGACTCCTGCAGCCCAGATGTCCACCTTTAGACCGTAACTACAAAACGCAACAAAAAACAGTTAACGATGAAACTGAGCCGTACAGACGGGAATTAACAACAGAATTAAATTCAGTAACGGTTAGGCGTGTCTGATTTTTATAAACGGAGTTATAGGATTTAAAGAAATCGGACTGACTTCGCTGGGACTCATTCGTCGGAGGATGTCCAACTGTGAGGACGTTAAATGAGCTGAGTTGAAACAGAAACGTTCTCTTGTCTCACCCGGTCTCGGCGATGATCTCCGGGGCGACGTACGTGGGTGTGCCACAAACGGTGTAGAGCGGTCCTTCCACCACCGTCGCCAAACCAAAGTCCCCCAGCTTCAGGGACTTGGTGCCGTCTGGATACTCGCACACCTGAACAAAACCAAAGCTTTAACGTCTCCGAAGTTAAACACAAAAAGACCCAAAAGCTCCAACTCCTCAACGCACCGACCGCCTCCAATAACGTGGTGCGTTCCACGTGACCAGAACGTTTTCACGCTGATTATTCATACACCACAAAAACAGCAAAGCATCGTACGTATATGATCATCCAACATGTACCGGTTGTTTCTGAATCGCATATGGGGGCAGCATCTTGAGCAGGAAGGTCCAGACATCTCTCTCCACAGCCACCTCTTCCAGCTCTTCTGGGAGGACTCCAAGGTGTTCCCAGTTCAACCGAGAGACATAGTCTCTCCAGCATGTCCTGGGTCTTCCTTAGGGTCTCTTCCCAGTAGGACATGCCCTTAGCAACTCCCTAGAGAGGCGCCCAGGAAGCATCCTTAGCAGATGAACCACCTCAACTGGCTCCTCTGGATATGGAGGAGCAGTGGTTCTACTCTGAGTCTCTCCTGATAACTAAACATCTCCCCCTGTCTCTTAGGGAGAGTCCAGCTCCTGCAGAGGAAACTCATTTCAACCTCCTGTATCCACGATCTCATTCTTTCAGTCTCTACCCAGAGTTCATGACCATAGGTGAGGGGAGGAACGTAGACTGATGGTAAACAGAGAACTTTGCCTTACAGCTCAGCTCCCTCTTCACCATAACGGACTGGCACAGAGTCCATAATACGCTGCACCAATCCATCTGTCAATCTCACACTCCGTTCTTCCCTCACTGTGAACAAAACCCCGAGACTGGTTCTGGAGCCCATGCTGTGTGTTGAGATGAGCCCAACTAGATCTAGTCGGTTTTGCTCAACCTTGTGTTAACCGCACAAGCTCAGGCTCCTTCCCCACCAGAGAGGTTACGTTCCATGTCCCAAGAGCAGCTTTGGTAAGCCACGATCAGAGTGCCAAGGCCTCGCCAACAAGCCCCTCCCCCAGGCCTGGATCCAGGGTGGGGCCCCGATAAACTACATCTGGGCAAGGGACACTGCTTTTTTTCTGGTCCATATAAGTCTTCTGAATCACTCTTTGTCTGGCCTGTCACCTAGGAGCAATCTGCCTTGGGAGACCCTACCAGGGACAATTACAATTGCCCCCGACAGCTCCTAGAATCATTCAGATGCACAAACTGCTCCACCACGATAAGGTGGCGGTTCAAGGAGGAGTATAAAATCTAAAATAACTTCAACATTCTTACATTTTGTCTCCTGACAAAGGTAGACCTCATTACACCAGCAGAGTTTGGGACAACGTTAACTCCTTTCTATCTAAATGCTACAAAATATTTATACATACAAACATCTGCTGCAACGTTCTGACTTTGGTTTAAAACCCTGTGCTGCTACCTGAACTAAATATTTTGACTGAAGGACATCTTAAAGCTCAGCTTTCTTTAACAGTACGAAGCCCAGGTTTTTTATCTACGGTACATAAAAAATACTTCTACATTTTATAAATGCTTTTGGAATAAAAGGCGCTGCTAGAATCTGAACATCTGTACAAGAGGAAGCGAACAAGCACTTTGCACTTTAGGAGCTGCAGTGTTGAATGATGTTGCGCGTTGCACCACAGAGCATCATGGGATTAAAAAAAGTTTGACGTCAACGGCTTTTCCATCAGTCTGTTCTCTTCTATCTATCCAAGCTCAGGTGTCGGAGGCAACAGGTTCAGGAAACAAGCCCAGACCTTCCTCAACCCCGTGACCTTCTCCAGCTCCTCCTGGGGGTCCCAGTGTGTTCTCAGTCAAAGAGGACATAAAATCGCTGCAGGCAGTTCTGGGGGACGTGCCTAGAAAACTTCCAGAGGGAGCCACCAAGGACTCATCCTAATCAAAAACCTGAACCACCAAAACTGATTCATTTGATGATGAGGAACAGCAGCTGTACTCCAAGCTCCCCTGGATGATGGAGCTCCTTACCCTGTCTCTAATGCTGAGTCCGGCCACAAAGGAAGACCTTTCGACTGCTTGTATCTGGGATCTCAGGCTTTTGGTCATGATCCAAACCTCAAGACCATAGGTGAGGGTTGGAACATAGACAGATCTGTAAATCCAGAGCTTTGTCGTTTGACTCAACTCTTTCTTCACCACAACGGACCAAAGCAGCACTCTCATCCCTGAGAACTAGGCCCTGATCCATCAATCCACCTCCCTCTCCATCGTACCATTAGCTGAAGAGACTCATCTCCAACCCGGAGGAAGTCTTCCACCTTTTTCCACTAAGCAATCCTGGCTGCACATTTAGAGGAGCTGACTCACCCAGCTGTGAACCGTCTCATCACTCGCTGAAAATCGTGGATTGAAGACACCAACAGAACCAAATCATCTGCAAAAAGCTAAGCCTTAACCAGACACCACCCTTTCCCTTAACCCAGACTCGAGATCCTGTTCAGAAGCACCACAAACAGGATCAAAGACATGGGACCGTTCTGGCAGGACCCAAAGTCCACTCTGACCGAGCTCAACTTTGACTTATAAATGTGGCAACAGCCACATCTTACTTTGACTGTCTTTACTTTAATAAGACCCTGGCACTTCCACAGAAGACCTCAGAGAACAGTCATAGACCTGCAGAACCTGGAACTCCCATGACCCACTAGCACCTCTGCAAACTGTTTAGGATTATTTCGCAGTGGACATTAAATTATAAAGAACTTTCTGTTGATCAGGTCAGGACAGTTCGTACAGAAATGAACAATAAATGAAGCGTTCGTACCAGCAGGTTCTCTGGTTTGATGTCTCTGTGGACGATGTTCATCCGGTGCAGGTACTGGATGGCACCGGCCAGGTTGAACACCATGGCGCTGGCGTCACGCTCGCTATACTTTGTGGAGGAAGTGATGGCGTCGAACAGGTCTCCACCCTGAAGGAAGCAGAGATGAGACAACTGGAGTAAGTGCCAGACTTTGTGTTTGAATCGTCCAACAGATACGTGAACACTTAAGATCCTCTACACGGTGGATCAAAATTTTTAAACTTGAGAAAATCCAGTTTGGCTTTGCAGAAAATTCTGAACTCTGAGGATTTTAAGATATGTTTTTATTTCCAGGTTTAGAGAAGAAGAGGAGGAACCTTAACGAGCTCCATGACGAGGAAGAGCTGCGTGGGCGTTTCGTCCACCTCGATGAGCTGGATGATGCTCGGGTGGCGCACCCTCCTCAGGACGGCCACCTCGTTTTCTATCAGGTGCTCCTGTTCGAACAAACACTCAGATTTTTATCACCTCAAAGGAGAAATTAACTAAAAAAACAACTTACTTTCCTATAACTGGTTCTTTTTATGTCCCCGTGACGAATGCTTCTGAATGTAGCGGTTTAATCAACCTAATGACTCCAGAACAGAACAGTCCAACAGTATTGATCCAGATTTTGTTTCCACGCCAACAGACAGACTGTAATCTGTTAGAGTGGTCCTAATCGGTCATTCCTGAGACTTTCTGAACATTTGTTCATGTTTTCCTTTGGACTCCGACTGCTTTAGACTCGCCTGTTAAACTTATATTTAAATGCAGCGTACAGGATTTATAAATAAACTGTGGGAAACAGACAGAGAGGTGTAAAGATCCATCTATAGCTGATGAGCAATGTCTTGAAGCAGGACAAGAAAGCCAGTAAAGACTGGACAGAATCGCCATCCTTCAGTTAGCCGCCAGCTGTATGACGAGGTTCAGCTAACTTTGGGGATCACCGTGTTGGAGATAAAATCTTGTTTCTGTCCAACTGTGTTATCCTTGGTTCAGAGAGTCAACTCAAGAAACGGGGACAATGTGTGTCTCTGTAAGAGACAGCGAACAACAACAAAGAGTCTAAAGATCCAGGACTCCTCTTTGCAGAAATGTTTGTGTCGATCAAACGGGAGCTTCTATACACAAAACAAGTTAAAGCTAGTCATCTGGACAGATTCATCTTGGAAGAAACGTTGCGTCTTTCATCCCTGTTCTCACCACAGATCACAATGTCATCTGCAAACGTCGTAGACCACGGGGATTCCTGCCTGACCTCATCTGTTAGTTGGTCCAGAGCAAACGAGAAGGGGCTCAGAGCTGATCCCTGATGCACTCTGCTCAGATCAAATGTTTAGACATTAATGGTTCTGGTAAACATCTGAACGGACCCTTTCTGGCTTCCGCGCCTTAAAACACCACTTATATGTAGCTGTTAAAGGCTTAGAGCTACGATTCTACCAAGGAGGTATCCAGACTGTTTAGCTGCGACACCGACTCGTTTGGACCTCCGTTCTTGTGAAATCCACCTCAGCTGCATCTGTTTGTTAAAGCCCTGAACGCTAACGTTGTTGCTAACACACTTTATTGAACGTTTTTAATCCCCAACGAGGAGCCGGCGCAGTCAACAGTTTGAGCTGAGAGTTACCTTCCCGCAGCAGCGAGCTTTATCGATGACCTTTAGAGCGAACTCCTGTCCCGTCGACCTGCCGACACAAACAAAACGTTAAGTTGTGCCACCGGCCCGTCGGCTGAAAC